TTTATGATATTTTAAATAAATAATCTAGTAAATATGGACAAATGTGAAATGTCTCTTGTACATGAATCGAGCTTTTATTGAGCTTCTTATCGAGCCTAATGTCAAGCTTATTCACGAGCTTTAAATGATGTTGTTCATGATTATAAACGAGCTGAATAGATTAGTGATCAAGCTTGTTTATTTAAGAATTGAGTATTTAAAATATTATTGAAGTTTGTTTGTTTAGTTAATTAAATTATCATAAATGAGCTTTAATCAAACTGAGTAAGGAGTAGCTTGTCGAATGTAGGGTTCACTTACAGCCTTATGCATTGAAATAAAAAATATATACTAATTTAATCCTAGTCTACTTGATCTTGAGCTGATAGAAACTTCAAGCGAACTTATGGACCTGAAAGGTTAGTGAGTTGGGTACATAATATAGATATGTATGAATGGTTGTAGTCAAGGAATAATAATGTTTGTTATCATCAAAATCACAGTACTTGGGTCTAGATGTGCAATAATTATAAGGGCTTCTCCGCCTTACTATGGGAGCAAAAGAATAGTCACCTTGATATAATGCAATACCTTAAGAGAGAGTCTTCAGGTAGTGGATGTAGTTCTAATTGGACCGATCCACTATAAAATTTTGTGTTCCTTTATCTTAACTTTTACTGTTCTTTATTTTCTACACATTTACTTATTATGGTTAAAAATATTTTTATAAAATTTTATCATTGTGATTAAAAACCTAAATCAGTTTTCAAACTTTCCAAGAGATTTTTAAATTACCAATTCGCCACCACCACCACCCCCCACTCTTGGTTAGCCTTGGGACAATTGCTTTAGGTCCAACTACATATTCAGACTTTCAAATTAAATATTCATAAGGCTTTCAATTTGGTGTGTAAATTTTTTTTATTTTTTAGGCTGACTCAAAAAGGTTTTCCTAATACTTTCATTTCTTAGATTAAAGGTTACATAGAGGATGTTTATTTTTTTATTATTCTTAATGGTTCTATGTACATATTTTTTAGTCCTTATTCGTGTCTTCAGCAAGTTTGCCCACTTTCTCCTTATCTATTCTATATTATTATGGATGCCCTCTCTAATATCTTGGATGATTGTTCTCACACTTATTGCTTTGAAGGGATTAAGGAAAAAATAATTCTATGTCTCATCTTCTCTATACGGACGACCTGCTCATTTTGGGAAAGCTTTATCAGGAAATGCTCATAACCTTAATAAGATTCTAGATTACTTCTCTTCTGTCTCTGGTCTGTTTATTAATATGGATAAAAGTTCTCTAGTTACTTCAAAAGATTATCATTTAGAAGTGGCTATCAGTTTTATTCTTGGAATTATAATTTCTTCATATCCATTAAACATTTGGGTTTTCCCCTTTTTGGTAAGAATCTTAAAATGTTTTATTTTCAACCCCTTTTTAATTATATTATGATTCTCTTCACTGGTTGGGAAGCTAACTTTATTTCTTTTACTAGTAGGTTCAATTCCTAAACTTTACTATTTCTAATGTTATTTCTTATTGGATCTGAGGAATTGCTATGCCAAAATACTATTTTAAATTCATTAGGAAGGTGTGCTTTAATTTTCTTTTTCATGGTGATCCTACTAGTATAAAGATTCATATCATTTCTTGGAATAAAGCTTGTAAGCCTAGAGATGTTGGTGGGCTTTGTATTTTTTATCCAGAAGTGCTCAATTTTTCTTATAACTGCTCTCTTATTTGGAGAATAATTAATGATATGGGTCTTCAAGGATTTTGGATTAAGTTTAAGTACATTTCTTTTTTGAATCCTTGGTCACTTTCTATTTCCGTGTTTTGGAAGAATAGTTCTTCTATTGCTAGGGAGATTAAAAGTAAAATTCATTTTAATATTTTTTCCAACAGCACTCTTTCTTTGTATTGGGATCCTTGGTTTATGGGGAGGTCTATTCATGATATTGGTATTTCTTAAAGAATTAGTTTATCTTCTTCTTTTCATATTAGAAAGCTAGGGGACTAGATTTCTCTTAATTGCTGGACTTTTTCAATCATTTTGCTAAGTTATTTACCATTCAAAATTTATTGCAATTACTCATAATGTACATTGGTCTACTTTCAATTAGATGTATAAAATGCATTTTTATATAGCAATTTATCTAAGATTGTATGTAAGTGGTGGCTGCAAGCATTTCAAGATTCACAATATCCAAATTATGTGTGTCATATTAATAAGGTTGTTTATGATCTAAAACAAGCACCACGATAGTGATTTGCCAAATTGACTTCACACCTTCATGTACTCAATTTTGTGAGGGGAGATGATGATCTTTCCCTCTTACTTCATAATCTTAGCAATATTTTTATATATAATTTTAATATATATTGATGATATCCTATTGATAGAAAATGACACTACGCAATAAATAACTTATAAATCTATAACAACATTTTTAACTTCTTAAATTGAAAGTCATGTCAATATTTACCTGCATCAACCCAATTTTAACTTCCATTAGACTGCACCTACATCAAACAACCTATGTATTAGATTTCTTAAGCCATTTTGGTATGCAAAATAGTAAGCCAGTCCAACCTCCTCTCTTTTACAAACCTCTTTCCCATGAGTAGAGCTCGATGCAATTATTGCAAATCCATAATTATATAGGCTTATTATAGGTTCATCGTAGTATCTAACCATCACCAAAATTGATTTTGCATTTTTTATAGATAAAATATTTTAGCATATGCATAATTTGCTCAATGATCTTTTTCAAATTCTCAAATGTCTTTATCGTTATATCAAAGGCACAATACATTATAGACTTCCTACTTAGTAAGATTATCTATAGCTAAGATCCTATTCTGACTCGAAAAATTCAACTGATATTTTGGATCGAAAATAAGTAACTAGATACTGTGCTAAGTAATATTCTTGTTTTTTGGTGTGTGAGAAAACAAACCACTATTATATATTAATCTACTGAGGATGAAAATATAACTTTAGCTACAATTATAACATATATTATTATGCACAGGTAAAAATTTAAATAATTAGGTTTTCCAATCGATTAACCGACACTATTTTATTGCGACAATGTTTTGGCATGAACACTTGCCAAAAATCCTATCTTTCATGCTCAGACCAAACATATTAAATTGATCCTCACTCTTCTTCTCCTATTTCTTTTCCTTCTCCATTTCATTTACTCTATTTTTCAAATGCACTCAAATGAGGATTAAATCATTAGTTAGAATTCACTAATCCCATCAGATGAGAAAACAATATTCTCTTCTTCAATATTTGATTTTTTTATTATCATTATAATATATATCATACTTTTGTAATATAAAGTTGCTTCTTATTTCTCTGCTAATTTTTCAAAATTTAAGGCCTTTATCATGCAAAGAATTTACTTTTTTTTATAATTTCACATGTAAATGAGTTATATATATATATATATATATATATATATAACATATTTAACCTGTTTCAATTTTTTTAAATAATTAAATTAAAAAATATTAAATGTGTGCCGGCCCTTATTTTGTCTCTATTTATAAAAACAGCAATCTTGACGTACGACAAAGACTTGTGGGCCTTTCACAACGGTGCATGATTGAAGGAGTGGGCCATTAAAGGACGAATTTTTCGCTTTTAGTAATTTCATTATGCAAGCCCAGTGGGCCTGGGCTTGTTCACTGAAAATACATCATTGAGTTTCTAATTAAACTATTTTAAATTTACAGGTCGCTTGAAATCCAAAATAAGAACAATGAGTCAAAATATAACCGACTAACTTTACCTATTTGATATATATATCAAAAATCTCGATCCGAACTCAATCAACACAAAACAGTTAAGTCGAAGTATCAATCAGGCTTAACATATAACTAATTGACTAATTAATGAGCTCGATAACCCATAAAAACATATTTTTAATATAATTTAAATGTTTTTTTGAAATTGTATAATAAAATTATTATTTTTAAATTGACTCATAGAGACCCAATTTTTTATCCACATGGTCAAGATTAGAGAGTCGCCTTAGATGGTTTGGTCACATTAAACGGAGGCCTTCCGATGACTCGATTAGGAAAGTTGAGGTATTAGATTTGACTCATGTTAAGAAAGGTAGAGGTAGACCTAAAAAGACTTTGTTAGAAAATATTAGAAATGATCTTTCTTTATTAGATTTAAATGAGAATTTTACATTTAACATGACACAATGACGAAAAAAGATTCATGCAGCCGATCCCATGTAGTGGAACAAAGACTTGATGTTGTTGTTGTTGTTGTTGTTGTGGTGGTGGTGGTCAAGGTTCATTTTGGACAAATTTCTAAAACATTATTATAATAAAAAAATTTATACTAAAAAGCTGATTTAGAAAATAATAAAAAAGTTATACCAAATAAATACACATAAATCTATCCCTAATATGAAATTTTCACATCATGTTTAAATTAATATTTTATGTCGTATCCAGTATTTGATTAATTATTCGGTGTGAATGTCAAACGTTATCCGGAGACCAAACATAATGCACACGTCAGCTCTATGCTCGATACCGCTTAATATCGCGGCTCGATACCGCTGACATGACGTATTCTGATTGGTCTCCATACGACATTCTGCATCTGATCTCCACAAAATAATTTATCCCATTATTGGCAATCTATGTAAATAAAAACTATGCTATGAATGTAAAATCTCTATTATTTTCAGTATAAGATAAATGCTACATTTGGGACAACTTTCTTACTGATTCTTAACGTAGTTTTATAATATAAAAACTTTATTTTTTTACTAAAAAGTTTTTAAAAAATAGAAAAAAAAAGCCATTCCAAACGAAGCCAAAAGAGCCTGAGGATTATATTAATGCATCAGATTGGCTGAACAAAACAATAGGGGTTCAATTTCTTGGTGCCAAGCATAAGATTGACAGGAGCATTGGTCAGCTCTCTGTTTGAATTAATTGATCCAATCAGTTTCATCAAGGTGCAATAAATGAAGATTCAGCAATAGTAATTGAAGGTTTCTTTTCTTCTAACCATTTTAGCTCCTTAAAAGAGTATAATTGTTCTCAAAACAGCAGGCAACCAACCAATAATGAACAAAAAATCCTTCAAAGTTCTGTCCTGAAGAAGATTCAAAAGAAAGAAAATGTTGATGACTATCATGATCAAGTTCATGTCTTTTCCCTTGGCGAACACTTGCCGAGCGAATCTTCGATCCCCCACATCATCTCGAATAATGATTTAGAGCTTCAACTTGAAGCAGGAAAAAAATCCAACTCAAAAAACCCCAAATTGTGGGAGATGGAAGCTCAAACCTCCCAAAACCATTAATTTGATCATGGCTTGTCTTAATGAGTGCCTTGTTTATGGCTTTTGGTAATAACTTGCAGGCGTAAGAGTGAGGATTTTTTCACAGGTAACCTGGGAGATCTAAAGAACTTTGGCTTTGGCCTGCAATGAAGGGAGATACTGCTACTTTTTACAAAAAAAAAAAAAACAAAAGAAATTGTTATAGAACTGAAAATCTTGTGATTCTCTTGAGCATTTGAAAGCTTGCTTACCTTCTAGGAATTTGAATATGAGAATCAGATTCTTTGGCCCTCTCCCCATTGATGTTTCCAGTGCATGCCTGAATGTAAAAAAGATTGTAATCCAGAATATGTATATCTGGTAAATTCGGTTTTTAGTGTTATTTGCATTCACGTTTAGAAAGTATTTACAGTAACCGAATATAATAGATTTTCTGTTCTGCAAATTAAGGCTTCGTTAAGGACGGCTTTCTTGCTGCTTCTTAAAGCGACTTTTTAGTATAAAAATTAAGAAGCAGTAAGAAAGCCGTCCCAAACGAAGCCTAAAACTGAAACGGTGCAAAGAAATAGGTTGTATGACATAAATGGTATACACTTTTTGGAGTACTAACACTACTATGGCTGATATTATGGATGAGCATAAAATGGTTACACAGTCATAGCCACCTCGAATTCAATGTGTGCAGAGAAAATGCTAACCAACTTTATTAATATCCAAACAAGTAATATTGCCATTATTGATTTCTTTTATTTTAGATAGCACATTTGCTATTTTTATAGAACAATATCAAATAAAAACGCTGAAGAAGAAAGCTCTTTCTCTAGGTTATCTGTGTAGGAGGGTGAAAGAGAAAAAAGCATTAGGATTCTGGATCCTAATCGACCATTTTGAACTGCTTAGTACTCATTTATTCATTTCATGTCTCATCTTCCTAAATGGGGGCATTTTATCAAATATGAATATTTCTGAGATTAGGTATTTATTGGAACTGTTAAATTCAGGCTTTGTTTATATTTTAATTATTTCGTAAATCTTTGATTTATTTTAATTGAATATTCTTAAATATTTATATTTGACATTGATACCAGTGAGGTGTGGAGTGAGTCTATTAAGCTAGTTAAGCTTATTCTATTGCTTTCAAATATTTCAGACAAAGAAAAAAGTCCGGTGGAGTAGTTCAGGTCTAGAGAATGGTTCTCTGAGCGTGGACAATAAGGTACTGATTTTATAATATAGTTTTATTTATTTTGATGTATAGAGTTGAAAATTGACTGGATTATATTGTTATTGATGAATAAGTTAATTAGTTATAAGCTTAAGTCCAATCCTTTCATTTGGTCCTAAGGCGTCACACATAAGTCCTCCAGAAGGATCAATCTAATGGTTAGAACCCTTAATTTATATGCTCAAAGATCCCTATCAAGATTAGTTGACTTATAGGTCATATAATCCTTCAGTAGTTTAGCCTTTCAAGATGTAGGGGTGAAAAGGTCACAAGTGACTAGGTCATCATTTATAAGAGGCATGAACTAAACCAATGGTCATTAAATGAGAGGAAAGGTTGACTAGAGCAATAATTAAATTAAATTTGCCACATGAAATTGGATGCACCCAAGGAAAAATCAAAGAGAATCGATTGATAGAGTATTATACACCAAAGGTTAAATGTGGGTTGACAAGACATGAAATTTGTTAAATTCAAAGAATTGGAGAGGAAAAAGTCTTAATTTATTACAGAAAATTATCCCTATTTATAGATCTATACAAGATATCTTAATAAAGAAATAAATAATTACGGAATCATGCATAATTGCCCTAATATAATCCATCCTAAATCAACCACCCAAATATGGAAGATCAATGTGATCCAGGTGAGCCTCACATGGATTCCCATCTTGACTGTAGGATTAAGTTCCAAGGGATGGTTGAGATTTAATAATGATGGGCATGATCCAGGTGAGCCTTCAACGAATTCTCATCCTGGACGTAGGATCAAGTGTCAAGTGTCAAGGGACAATTAAAAAAAAATAAAAAAAAATAAAAAAAAAGTGTCAAGGGACAATTGTGATTGAACAAAATTAAATTAAATTTGTTATATGAAATCGGATACTTCAAATGGAAAACAAAAGGGAATTGGTTGACATATAAATTAGACAAATAGACAAATAAATATTTCTTGTTTGGAGAAAATGATGCAGGACTACGTATGCAATGTTTAATTCACTTAGATTTTGCACAACTTATGATCAGAATAAATCGAGTACAAATCTAATAATAAATTCAAACAACGAGATAAAGCAATTAGTGGTTATCCGCTTAGGTTTAAAATCACATGGTAAGAACTTTGAAACTTCCAAAATAAATAGAAAAACAACACGATGAGCAGTAGTAGTTTTCAAACTAATCCCTAATCTAACAATGAGAATTAGCATGCATCGAGGTGAACTCAAATCCTATGATTACTAAGCTTAAGCAAGAGCAATGCGGAAGAGTCCGTCGTGACTGCAATCAAACCAAGGAGAGTTTAGACTAAAAGGAATAAGATGAAAGGGAAAAGAGAAACCTTCGTTAGGGAGAGGTGGAGATCATCCAATCGATGCCTTCGAAGTGTTCGTCGATAGCTTCCACCAAATTGTCTAGGATGTGCTCCAAGTAGTCTTCGATGGTGTGATCAATCCTTGGGTTCACGTCGAAAAAGGTTGATCGTAGGATGTCGGTGTAGCCGTCTTCGTCCCAAGTTAAACCATACTCAGTTGCTGGATCCGCCATGCATGGGGACGAAGAATGAACTCTCCTTCCGTCTTGCTAATGGCCTCGAATGTCGTCGAAGAGAAAGAAGTTTCTCTTGTATGTGAAGATGAAATAAACTCCAAGTTTCCTTTCCCAGAAAACTGAAACAATTTCAGATTTTGGATTAAAATCTGAGAAGAATTTCAGATTTTCTTAAGTGTAGTAGGTAGGGAATTTGGAGGGGAGCTTTAGCCTTGAATCAAGAGAGGTATTAAAGAGGGAAGAGAGGATTGGAGAGAGAGAGGGAGGAAGAGGGGCGGCGGGATAGCAGGAAAATCTGAGGGATTTTCTATTCCCTCAATCAGAGAATTGATTTGGGAACTAGAATAGGAAATAAGGCTTAGGAAAATCGGCTAGGAGCAATGTGGGGGATTTGAAATTAGTTTCCAAAGCAATATGGGGAGAATAGGCAATAATTATTAATTAAAGCCAAGATGGAGGTGAAGGGGCCGGCGGCATCCATAGGGGGAAATATGGGTTTAATGCATTCAATTGTGGTTACTTAATTTGGGATTGGGATTTAGGAAAGAAATAATTAAATCTTATTTGAATTTGAAATTCAAATAGAATTGATTTAGTAACTTTCCAAAAATAGGTTGATGAATTAGGAAAGAATTCAAATTTCAAATTAGTTGAATTTGATTTTTTTTTTTCAAATCTTCCCAAAATTAATTCACCCAAATTAGGCAAGGGTTTCAATTGGAAAAAGGAAGTGAGAGGGTGGCGGTGGCTAGGTGTTGGGCCGGTGGTATTGGGGAATTGGGTAGGGATTTTGGCCGTGGATATGAAGAGGATGGGGAAAGGGGTTCGGAGTAATGGAGGTACGGCGATTATGTGAGGATTGATGGGAGGAATAAAGAGAAAAGAAAATAAAGAACGAAACCACGAACCCGACTTATCTAGGTTGGTGGGTATTGCGTGATCCTCCCTCTCCTAGGGATCTCTCTCCATGAGCACACTCAAGCTCTCTCAAACTCATCGAAGAAGAAAATTCATAAGCAATCATTCATTCATTCCAAAAGAAAATAAGGAGGGCTATATAAAGCCTCATACAAATGACTCAAAACAAAAATACACAAATGCCCCTTGGGCTTACATACGACATCCCTTCATAAGAGGGTACAACGGGAAAAACAAAATGACACCTAAGTAAACAAGAAAATACATGAATAATAAAATAATACAAATGACTCAGAAATATAAAAACTCGATAGTGGCCGTAGATCGGCGGCCACGTCTCTGATAAACCTTCCACGATCTGATGTCCCCATCAGAAAATTTTGAAGGATATCAAGAAAAAAAATATAAATTATAACATATCGAAAAAAATTTAACATTATAAATGAATTAGAACATCAACAGATACAGAATCAAAAGACAAAACTGCTCAAGTGAAAAAGGTTAGTAAAAGGATGATTGCTATCAATTTAATTATATGTTAAAACATCATTGGTCACACTAATACTTACGCTTCACAAGTTGAAATAGGAGATAATTTAAAAAACTAATTTGAAAAGAATTGATGAATTGTAACAATATAAACCAATGGAAGAGAGGGTATTTTTTGGGAGGTAATTAAAACGGACATATATTGGTTCCAATATGATGGCTTCAATGTCAATTCACTGCAGGTATAGAATATAAGATTAAAATATCAAAGGAGAAATTATACTAGGTTTCATGAGCATATCATCTTTTAATAGCAAATACATACTTTAAAAAATGAGAAAACCTTTTAATATCTTTAATAAATGGAGAAACCAAATAAAAAATAGACTTGCTTTTACTTAAAAGGGAAAAAATATTATAAAATAATTCTAATAGAAAGTTTGTTCATGCATCATAAAGTAATAGCTACGGGTGTAAATCTTAAAAGTATCAAGAAAACATCAAAAAGGATAAAAAAAGTGCCTAAGATGGTAAAACTTGAAAATTGACAAATACTTAATATTCCTAGATTGCTAATATGAACAAATTAATGTTTTTAGTTGAGGAAAATTAAGTGTGAGTTAAGATGATTGATTCAATTAAGAAAATTACTTGAAGACATCAATATAAAAATGCTAAATGAGAACTTAAATAAATTATTGTAAAAGCGTATAATTGACAAAATAACAATTTATATTATAGAATGATCCAAACAGGTGAAATGGAGTTAGCTCTTAAAAAAATGCATAGAGATTGATATGTCACCAAAAATCACCATGATAAGACATGAATCTCAAGGCATATTTGAATTGAAAACTTTCAAAATTAAATTTGGGATCATATGAACTTTGATCTTAGCAAACTTATAGACAAATTAAACGTCTTGATAAGACGAACTCAATGACACCAAAATCGGTCAAATCCGAGACCAAATGGGATAGAATCAAGGGCCTAAGGCATATTTGAAAGTTTAGGAACATTAATTGGATGGCCAAATGGTCTCCAAATAAGACATGCTTATAATCGGATCGAGCGGCTCGACAAGATGAATCTAATGAGTCAATATCACTTAATTCTGACATTATTAAAGCACTTAAATGC